TTTTTTTTACATCTGTCAGCCCTATAACTAACCCAAAAGTCAACTGTAAACACATTATAGTCAAACAATATCCGCATCTCCTTTTCAATTCCTTTATGACTGGTATAGGGCACATGCTTAGTGGTCAGCCCTAGCCATCAGCTCTGCCCAATGTTATCAGCCTAGGTTCTGATTTATTCCCCAACTTCATCAAACTCAGCTATAAATTGGCTAGAATACAGTACTACAGTTTGTCAAAAGGACAGAAACTCATAGCTGGAAATCAAACAAGATTACATTCTGCAAAGTTTATTACAGACATTCCCTGACTCTTACAAACTAAAGGAAATTGTTGCTATGGCTATTTTTCCCCCAGTAACTAGAGAAGAGACAGAACGAAGATAGAATTCTGTATTTAAATCCATAGCAAATACAGCCATAATCAGATGAAAGATTAACACAGTGCTTGTGAGAGAAATTCAATCTGGTCCACAGAGATGAGTTCCAGCACACAAGAAAATTAAAAAAAAAAAAAAAAAAAAAAGAGAAAATAAGATAACTGTAGCCTAAGTCAAGATGTCTTGTCCAAATCTACAATTACCACCACAGGATTTTCAAGAACTCCATGGGCACACTGGGTCAGCTTGGCTAAACAAGACTAGCCGGCTCCGTACCTAAAAGATCACAAAATGTCGTATCTAGCAGGTGTTAGTTCAAACTCAAGTGACTGATAAATGTCACATGCATAATTTAGCTCGCTCTCTCCCCCTGATAGTAATCAGAGGGTTATTTGGGTATGAAATGCTGGGGTTTGAACCCCGAGCCCCAAATTAAGGTTGACATATGGGTGATTCCCACAGCCCTTCATAAAGAGGTGGTTACAGCTTCCCCCCAGGGTGCGGCCGGCCCTGCAAGAAGAGCCATAAGGGAAATGAGCCCCAGGGGTCCCACACCGAGTGAACAAAGGTCAGGTGTCTGCCTGGGGATAAAAACTGGGACCACTTGCAGCCAGGGAGCAGTGTCTGCTCTGTGGAGTGTACTTCACAGAGCTTCCTGGTTCAGGGGACACCTCCTGACTCTCCCTGGAGCTGGGCCCCGGTCCGTTTAGACGTTTGTGAACGCGGGCTGATCGGGTGAGAGTCGCCATGTGGGCACCTTTATCATATATATTTAGCTCTCTGGTCTGGCTGTTTCCCATGCTAGCTATGGGAAACCTCGGTTCTCTGTTTATACCACCTGTTGTGGGCCAAGTCATGTCTTTTGTGGGATCGTTGGGGGTGGCGTCAATTATGTACCAGCTGATTGATCTGTTTGTACCCCTAGCAATCATTCATGGAATGTCCTTTTTGCTTACAATACAATCTGTGTGTTGGTTCATCTTCCTGCTGGCTGTACAGGGTGTCTGCATAATTTTAAGCCCCTGCACAAGAACAGACTAAATACAGTACTGGCTTTGAGCAAGGAACTCTCTTGTAGCTCATACAGCACTATGGAGTTAGCATGGAACCTTCAAAGTCTTCTATGGCTCTTTCACACACATCCCTGTCATTCATTCCTGCAGTTATCAACCTCTTTGCCTAGTTTAATTCTTAAGGAATGTGCAGCCGTTACAAAATCTAAACACAGAGGGTTTGAACACAGCCATGCTCTTGTTAGTGTAACCATTACCATTGTTGTCCAAGTACGTGACATAACACGCCACCCTCTTGAACACTCAAAGTATTCTGTGTTGCTCTGTAAGCCAGAGACATCCGCTGAAGTGGTCAGTTTACTCTCTCCATTCTTCACCTATCCCAAGGACAATTAAGTATTTTCAGAGCAAGCTCACCCTCTACGTATGATCTCCTCTTAAAACCCAAGCCCTTCTTCTCAGTCCATTACCTTCCGAGGTTCACACTATACTTTCTGTGTAAATTCTGCCTCTTTTTCATACTTTCATCACCACTGCCATGGATGCCACCTTTATTAGAAATAGCACATTAGCAAGCAGTACAGATCAGTAAGAGTCGATCTGCAAAGCTCATGTGAGAAAACACCTTTGTGACGTATTTCAGCATTTTGGAGTTAGTTCTTTCATCGCATGCTAGTTTGGACACACAGACCAAATGCCTGTTTGTGGCTGGAGTACATTTGCTCTGTGCTGGCATGTATGTTGCAGTTCATTCAAGAATCCAATCCACACAGCACAAGACTGCTCCCAAACCCCAAATTAAAACCACAGCCAAATTCACTTTTAAAGAACAGTTCCAACCAAAACTAAAATACTGAATTATACACGTCTTGATTACTGTTTCAATCCTTAAAAATGGAATAAATAAATATGTGATCTGTAAGCTTTCTCTACCTGTAATTTTTCATGCCAAGCTCTTTCTCAGTGGCTCATTTGTTAATAGCCATTTGTTGTCTCCGATCTGAAGCAACATAACAGTGGTATTATCTGCAAGATAAGACAAATTCCACCAGAGACCAGTAAAACAGCAATAATCCAACTAACCTACAATAATAATCCAGTCTTCTTGACTTTATAAGCCACATCTAGCTCCTTCAAAATTCCCTCTATTGCTTCCCAACACACCCTCCACTCCATCTTTACCTCTGAAAAGCAAGAACACCTTCCAGATACCTCAGGGTGTTTACAGAGACATAACAACAGATGTTGCCTAGCCTGATCATTCTGCGGACACAAACACTGCAGCAATTCAAATTTAGACCATCCTTCTAGCTTCCATCTACTTCAGGTAAATAATTTCCATCTTCAGTCCAGGAAGACTAAATAGAGCTAAAGTCTTGAGTTGCTTACAGGTTTTTATCACCTAATATACTTGGAGAAACAGAAGAGACCAACATCTGCCAGAGGGTGTCTTCAATCCAACAGTAATGTAGAGTTGAAGCACTGTGTAGGATAACTGTACTTTCCATTTCCATCTTCCTGTATGTTTTGGTACCTCAAGATGAAGTTTGCTGTTTCCCTCTAATGCAGTTAAGGTATCTCACTTTGTAACTCACCTTAAAACTTACAGGACAAAGCAGCTGTACCAGAGCTGACTACCTAGCCACAGAAGCAGGAGGCTACAACCTGGGCAGAAGGAAACTGATGGTGGGGAGGCTAAATTCTACCTTTCAGCAACACACTGACAAGTGCTTTTAAGAGCTACAAGAGGGCAGTTAACACCCAGGTCTCTACTTTCCTGAAGGTACAATGCCCTCTTACCAGCCAAAACTTATGGAAAAGTAAGCTTTCCTTTAATTATATTTTTCCCACTTTAGATTCACAATTGTTGCACAGGTGTCTTAAGCTCAAGACTGCTCTTATCATTTAAGCATTCATCTCTAGTTTTCAAGGTACTGCAAAAACCTTCTTCTGAAACTGAAGCACAACTAGACGGATTAGCAAGCTTGCCATGTGGCTACCCTTGCAACAATGCCACGGTTGTGCCCTCACTTGGAAGTCTTCTTACCTGAAACACATACAGCTGCAAGTCAGATGCCAAGTAAAACAACAAAAGCTCTACTCTGTTACTTTCATACAGGGTTCAGCA